GAGGTTCTGAAGGAGCGAGCTAGCTCCCGTCTGATGACCTTTCTTATGCGTCTCAATCCGGCTTTTGAGGGCATTCGGTCATCTCTGCTTCATCGTAATGTTAGCCGGATTGAGGAGGCCTTACCAGAGCTTATTCGTGAAGAAACACGCCTTCGTAGTCAGGCGAAGCTGGATGTGCATTCCTCCGAGTTGGGTTCTGTCTTTGCTGTCCAGTCTGGCCGCCCACAATTCGGTCGGACTCCATCTGGTGAGATTATTTGCTACCATTGCAAAGAACCTGGTCACATTCAAATCAAGTGTCCCAAGCGCAAAGTGTGCAACTATTGTAAGGCCGCTGGGCATGTTGTTGGTGAGTGTCCGATCCTAGCTCAGTGAGGTCGTGGTCGAGGGCGGTCGGGTGGTTCATGGGCTGGCGGTGGCCCCTCGTCGACGGGTGGAGGCCCTCGTCCTCAGACTGGCCGCGTCTCCTTGAGTCCAGTTTATGCTACTACACTAGCTCCCTCTTCTGGTTCGGCCGACGGGTTATCCAGCTCTTCCGGTGTGTCATCTGCTGAGATTCGTCGCTTGGTGAGGGAGGCTCTTCAGGAGTCTCTTCCTTCCGCACTCACGGCTGCCTTCTCCACGGGTATGGGTTCCTCTTCCTCTTCCACCTGGCATCTTGACTCAGCTGCAGTGAATCATATGACTAGTACTCGCTCTGTTTTTTCTTCTCTTCGGCCGCATTCTGGTATTCGTTTACAGGTGGCCGATGGTTCTACTATTGATGTTGAGGGTCTTGGTCATGTTCGGAGTTCTCGTTTATCTCTACCCCATACATTCTTTGTTCCGAAACTTGTGTCTAATTTGATCTCCGTGGGACAGTTGACTGAGAATGGGTGTCGAGTCATCTTTGATACTCATGGTTGTGATGTGCAGGACACGAAGACGGGGGTGGAGATCGGCCGCGGGAGTAAGAGAGGTCGGATCTTCCTCCTTGACAGTTACCAGCCACCAGTGGGACCTAGAAGTGGATCGGCTATGGATCATGGTGGTACGCTCACAGGGGACATCGGGCATGCTGGTCACACACTTCATGGAGGGGATTGTGCACCTGTTGTTGATGTTTTGTCATCTTCTTCTAGTTTAGACACTTGTGGTTACTAGCTTAAGTTGTCGGATTGGGATTTATGGCACTTTAGACTTGGCCACCCCCATAAAACACGTCTTTTTGATATGTTTAAGAGAAACTGGTTGTCGGGTACTATTCGCTCTATTCCTGATCATGAGTGTGTGCATTGTGTGGAAGCTAAGATCTCTCAACGCTCTTTTTATCCTAGTTCCACAGAGTACTCTGAACCGTTTGATTTGGTCCACACTGATCTCTGGGTCCTTCTCCAGTGACGGCTCGGTTGGGGTTTCACTACTTTGCTCTCTTTATTGATCATGCTACCAGGTTCACGTGGGTTTACTTTCTCAAACAGAAATCTGATTTGTTTGAGATTGCTCGAGACTTTATCCAGATGGTTTCGACGCAGTTTGGCAAGGTTATTTGCATTCTTCGCTCCGACCCTGGTGGTGAGTTCTCTTCCCATCCCTTGCAGGCTATGTTCCGTGAAAAGGGTATTCTTCCTCAACAGTCTTGTCCCGGTGTGTCCCAACAGAATGGACTGGTCGAGAGGAAGAATCGTCATATTCTTGAGCTGACCCGTGCACTGCTCTTTCACTCCTACGTCCCTCCTGCCTTCTGGGTGGAAGCCGTTCATACTGTTGTTTACTTGATCAACCGTCAGATTACTCCTGTTCTTGGTCAGTGCAGCCCATATCAGGCCCTCTATTCGCGCACTCCTAACTATGCCTGGCTTCGTGTGTTTGGATGTGTCTGTTATGTCCTTCTCCCTCGACGAGAGCGCCACAAACTTGCTCCTAAGGTTGCTCGGTGTGTGTTTCTTGGCTACAGTGATAAGCACAAAGGCTATGCATGTTATGATGTTGCAGCTCGTCGGCTTCGCATCTCGTGTCATGTGGTCTTCCTGGAGAACGAGTTATATTATGGTTCGACGAACTCTTCGGCCCGTGCCGACCTCGACTTCCTCACTTCGCTTCACAGTTTCTCATTTGTCTCCATAGTTGCCGATGATGGAGATGATGATGATGGTCCGCCCACTCCCCCTTCGACTGTTGCTTCCAGCTCATCGTCTTCCTCTGTCGCGTCCACCGGCGAGACATCATCATCTTCCACTTCTTCCTCCTCGGCCAGCGGTTCATCTGCTGACTCGGGCCCTCCCAGCCCTGTTCTCCGGCGTTCCACGCGGGCCACTCGTGGACAGGCTCCGGCTTCTCACTCGGATTTTGTGGCCTACTCTACGGCCTCTGCTGTGTTTGTCCCTGCTACCTACAAGCAGGCTCGAGGCCTTGATCAGTGGGAGAATGCCATGACTACTGAATGTGATGCGTTGGATGCCACTCATACATGGGATTTAGTACCGCGTCCTCCTGGTGTTCCAGTGATCGGCTGCAAGTGGGTCTATGCTCTCAAGGAGAACCCGGATGGTTCTGTTGAGCGTAGTAAGGCTCGGCTAGTCGCCCATGGATTCAAACAACAGTATGGTGTGGATTACGATGAGACGTTTGCCCCAGTTAACAAAATGCAAACGGTCCGCAGTTTACTTGCTGTTGCAGCAATGAAGGGGTGGCGTCTGGTGCAGTTAGATGTAAAAAACGCCTTCTTACATGGGGATCTGAAGGAAACTATATACATGGTACGTCCTCTGGGGTACACTAAGGGTGATAGTTCTATGGTTTGCTTGCTTCGACGCTCTCTCTATGGTCTTAAGCAAGCTCCCCGGGCGTGGTTTGAGAAACTTCAGAGTACCGTTTTGCATGCTGGTTTTATTCAGAGTGACAGTGATCCATCTCTGTTCCTTCGCCGTACGGCTCGTGGTCTTACTGTTTTTCTTATCTATGTTGATGATATGGTCCTTAGTGGGGATGATCAGGAGGGCATTCAGGAGCTTACTGCAGTCCTGCGCGAGGCTTTTAATCTCAAGGAGCTTGGGGACTTGTCTTATTTCTTAGGTTTGGAGATTGCTCGATCTGCAGCTGGGATTCATGTGAGTCAACGTAAGTATGTTGCTGATCTTCTCGAAGAGGCTCACATGGATGAGTGTATTTCGAGTGGTACGCCAATGGAGCAGAATCTGAAGCTCTGTCAATCTGATGGGGAATTGTTGGAGAATGGTACTACCTACCACAGTATTGTTGGCAGCCTTATCTATCTGACCAACACTCGTCCAGACATTGCATATGCCGTTCAGGTTGTTAGTCAGTACATGGCGGCTCCTCGTACGAGTCATTGGATCGCTGTTCAGCGAATCCTCCGCTATCTCCGTGGTACTCCTGCGGTGGGTCTCTTCTTTCCTGTTGGGGGTGATGCTACTATGGTTGCTTATGCCGATGCTTACTATGCTGGCTGTCTAGACACTCGTCGTTCGACCTCGGGCTGGTGTGTGAAGATTGGCCATTCATTTGTCTCTTGGCGTTGTAAAAAGCAGGATAGGGTGTCCAAGTCCTCCACGGAAGCCGAGTATCGCTCAATGAGTGAAGTCACCTCTGAGGTAGTCTGGTTACGCCGACTGCTTGCTGAGCTAGGCGTCTCCTGCACGGTTCCGATTCGTCTGTTTGCAGATAACACGAGTGCCATCAAGATTGCCACTAACCCTGTGCTACATGATCGCACAAAACATATTGAGGTGCATGTCCATTATATTCGGCAACTTGTTACAGATGGTATCATTGATCTTACATATATACCAACTGAAGAGCAGCCGGCGGATCTTCTCACGAAGGCGGTAGCTTCTGCTCGCCACTGGTTTCTAGCACACAAATTGATGTTGCGTCAGCACCATCAATTTGAGGGAGGGTGTTAGAAACTAGAAGTTTTGGGGCTGTTTTGTAATTGTTCATGTATATATTTAGTGTAGCATGTGGAGTAGGGTTGCGGCAGCCGAACATATATATAGTCCTTTAGGGACTTAATGTAGGTATCTTGAATCTTCTGCTGAATAAGATAACCTAACGCCTTGTGCCGTGGACTAGTCTCAACGATCATCGTTGGGGAAACCACGTAAATCCCGTGTTCATTGCTTGGTTAGATTATCGATTTCTTGGAGTTTGACAAAGAAACCTTAAACTAGTGTTCTATATAGCAGTGAAACTTACTTCTGCTAGTGCCGTAGAACAGAGCCACCTGCAGCCAGCGACAATTTCAGAGCCATCTCCTTTTTCTTCCTCCTGGAGAAATAACGTATAATCGTATATGGGTTAAGCAATGGACGACATTGTTTTAGGATGAATCTGGCTTTTCTACATCCGGAAAATAAATGGAAGAAGGATTCGGAGTCAAGTTGTGAACCCTCTTACGGTTTTACCTGGAGACTTGCTCGGCTCTCTTCAAAAACAGGAAAGGGAAGTCGCGTTTTTTCACTCTGGGAAGAAGCGGATATATATGCCCAACCCACTGCGGCCGACTCCAACTCATAACGAGGCTCTGAGTCTTTTTATTAATTTTTCGAATCAGTTTTAGTTAGCAACCAATAATACATCTATCATTACGTACTCGTAATACAGAAAACGAAAAGACCGTGGAGCTTGATGGATTCTCGCATCATCTTCCAGGTTTAGAAACGGCTACCATCACTCTCAGTTGCGGATTAAAGCTCGTCCCAGCTAGTGATTAGTTAGCCCTTTCAGTTTAGCAACAACTTCACAATGATCAGGAATGAGTGAAGCTATTCAGATTGAGCTCGCCTAGAACCAGACGGCTAAACTATTGATCAGACTATCGAAGAAACAGTTCAGGGAATACTAAAGATGGAGCTTTAGATGTACATTCATATGTAACTTGTTGGAGTTGTGATATCCTGCATAACACAACAGGGAAAGAAGACCAAGTATAAGCCTATACTAACCTGTAGAAATGACGAAATGACTCGATACAACATCTGATGGATGGCCATGTTTCACTACCAGGGTTCAGGGAGAGATCCCCCAGCTTCGTGATCAGAAAGAAAGGTAACATCTGCAGCCCAGAACTCCATGTTCTCTCTATCGCCCCAAACCCCGATGCCTTCAAATGAGTCCACATCAAAATCCTCGAGATCCGAATCTTCAAAAATATTCTCAAACCCATCATCGTACTCGTCACCATTCACATCATGAAATCCATCACTGCTACTGGCATCATTTGAGACTCCAGCAACATTTCGGTTCATTGCAGCCTTACGCCTCTCTTGCCTCATTCTTTTCGATTCCCTGACCAAATGCATCAACTTATCCTTGATGACCGAAGTATCATCTCTCTCAAAGAGTTTACCTTTCTCACTGAACCCCTCCACCAAGAACACAGAATGTCTCACTCCTTTCAAGCTCATATAGAACACCTCCGGGTGCCTTAGTATCAAACCCTTCAACTTGTTGGGGAGCCCGAATTCCTTCCTGAAATGTGTCAAATGGTCTAGCAAAGTCCTCTTCTCAACTGTCAATCCCAACACCTCCCTCACCAGAGCACAGGTTCTCTTCTCCGCTTCCATGGACTCTTTACTGAATTCCTCCATGGTTGTATGATAAGGGCACACATCAGGCAGTTCAGAAAACTTAATCAGGAAACCCTCATGCCGCCTCTTCAGATTCAACCCCTTTCTAAGCTGCAACCTCTTGAATTTCAACGGCCTATCCACTATCAAATCACGGGAAACAACCCGAGGAGGTATAGCAACAGCTAACTGATCATCCCATGACACAAGCTCCAGGGCACGACCATACGAAGTCTCCACAATCTTGAACTTATCCGGATGATCGTTGCAGAGGCGAGACCGGAAGTTTGGCGGGAGGCCGAGATCAGGTGCTAGGTGAACCAGCTTTGTTAAAAGCAGCCGGCGGTGGGAAGCAAGCATCAGCAGCTTCTGCAGTTTCTCTGCCTGTTTGATGGAAATGGCAGATTGGAGCCTGGACTCCTCAGCAGCTAGTGCTTCTGCTGCTGGGGTCAAACGAACACAGAGCTGATTGTAGGGCTTCGTGGCATTGAATGGAGATGGATGTGTTGGGATTGCAAAGAACTCGAATATAGAAGGGTACCTGTGAATCATGCTTCTGAGGGGACGACGGTCGGGGAGACCGAGATAAGAACGGCATTTGGCGAGAATGTTTACCGGGAGATAGTGCTTTGGCTTGGAAAGAAGTAGGGTTCTGAGCTTTTGAACAAATCGAATACTGTTCTGCTTCACGACGAGATTGTCTAGCGGCCGGCTTCGAACAATTTTGGGTGCAGCACAGGAAATTGAAACCGATGGGTTAGAAATTTTCCTTCTGGGGTTTGATATTTGAATCCCTGATTTCCTACAGGGAATCGGCAGAGGAAGGAAACTGGACTTGAAGAAGCAATCAGTTTGCGAGGGTGCCAACACCATAACCGCCATTTTCAGAAGCTCTTTCTTTTCAAAACTGATGAAACTAAGAAATCAAACTCATCCTTCAGTTCGTAAACTTACGGAGCCAATCGAAGAGCAGAAGTTGCAGGAACTTGAAACCTGGCAGGTGCTCCGCCGCCGCGTATCGGGACGGCGGCGGCTGAAGAAAGAGAGAGTCAGGATGCAACTTACTGTGTATTGTGCTCAAAATTCGGTTGGTATCTAAAAAGAAGGATGTGCGATGGCGTAAATGATTAGGCTGACGAAAGTCTGCGTTGCGGTGAAGCTCGTCTTCTTCATACGGCGGCTAATAGCTCCGGCGAACTGTCAGGAGAGAGGGTGCTGATATTTTGGGTGGTTTGAAGATTTTTTTTTAAGAAATGAAAGAAGAAGGGAAGGGGAAACCATAATCCTTTCTGGGCCAATAGAGACTCCGAAAGCCACATCGCAGCCCATCTATTTTTCCGGTATTTAATAGCCTGCAGAATCTAAGGCCCATTGGTGAGAGCCCAGTCAGACCCCTCTTAGTTATGTCAAATATGTTTAGATTTGACTTTTGAGATGCTCAAATGGAATCAATCCAGCTACCGCAAGAAGAAAACATGCACATATTTGATAGCCTATTCTTGGGGAACCAAAGCCACAACACAATTGGGGGGAGGGGCCGAACCGATAAAGATAGTTAAATGGTTAATCGATAACCGAACCAATAAAGGTAGTTAAATGGTTAATAGATAACCGCTAAATTTTTAGTGGGTGGGTTTCGGTTAGCTGTATTTTGCTTAGTAGTTAACCTTTAACTAACTAATCGGTTAGTGATTAACCGATAAGAAAATCAATGACCGCCTACCAGTATAACCAACCAATCAAAGTTCAAAACCAACCAAAATTACAATTCCAGACATTCCAATTTTCACTTATTGCAAACATCTCTCCACCCAAAGTCCTTAATGTATTTAAGAGTTAGAACCCAAAAGTCATCCTCTCTTGCACCCTTTTGCAATCGACAGAGCGAACATCACACCCTAGTAGTCGTTGTTTCTTTGATGTTTGTGAATCATGAAGATCTTGTGATTTTAGTGTTTGATGTCGTTGTAGTTGGTATTCACTAATTGATGAAGACGTTTGATTATTTTTAAATTTATGTTGGAATTTGGACTTGAATTATGAATTCACAATGGATGTTGTATTTATGTTATATCTTATCATTATTATTTTATGTTAATAATATACAAGTGTAGTTAAATTGTTCTACAAATGATTAGGAATGACAATCGTTAAACTTAATTGGATGATGATTTGGGTACTACAAGTGGTTATTATTTCGTTTATTATATTTCATGAAAGAAAATAGAAGTTATTAATTTGATTAGGTATATTTGTACTTGTTGAAACTTGAAACGTATGTTAGTGGTTATTGGTCAAACCGTTAGTCTAGGACCTGTAAGTTTCGGGTTTCAATCATTTCAATAACACACAGTATTAAAACTGAAAACCTATATCACAATTATAAAAAAACTCCTAATTTCAAAAATTAATGTTCTCTAAACTATGCCACCACTATGTGCAAACAACTTAAAATATTATAAAATTATTTTCTATTTTCAGTCAAGAATCAAGATACAGTTAAAACTTAAAAGGTTTGTAGTAATATATTAATAGTTTTTTTTAAAGGTGACATAGATTGTTTTGGTAATTAGATGCTAATTAAGATATTTGATTCTGAATCCTCTGAATTCAAAACTAGTGATATTACCACTATGTCAAACCTTTGTTCACAAATCAATTAATTAAAAGTGCAAGTATTGGGCACGGTTCCTTACGATTTTATCGCTCAAAACATGGGGTTACTGTTCATTAGAGGTTTTTTTCCGTGGACTCATTTATAGCATCTCCTTCTTTCCTCATAACAATCAACCCAATATAATATGGATTAAATAAAGCTAACATATATCACCGGCACTAATTATTAACAACCCAACCTATAATTGTTGTTATGTAACCTATAATTGTTGTTATGTTTTTTATACTCTATATCTGATTTGACCAATTTTATAGTAACTTTTTTTTTTCCCTACAATCAGTTGTTAATGAGATTTTCCCACATTCAATAGCTATTAATTAAAAGTGAAAGTATTGGGCACTGTTCCTTACTATTTTATCGCTCAAAACATGGGGTTACTGTTCATTAGAGGGGTTTTTTTCGTGGACTCATTTATAGCATCTCCTTCTTTCCTCATAACAATCAACCCAATATAATATGGATTAAATAAAGCTAACATATATCACCGGCACTAATTATTAACAACCCAACCTATAATTGTTGTTATGTTTTTTATACTCTGTATCTGATTTGACCAATTTTATAGTAACTTTTTTTTCCCTACAATCAGTTGTTAATGAGATTTTCCCACATTCAATAGCTACTGGATTTTTTATACTCTACACTTAATTTTATTTTCATCTTTTAGCCAATAGTCAGTTGTTTATGTAGTTTTTTATTTTTCATTTTTTCACCCAAATTCACTAGAATTTTGTATTTATCTTTAGATCGCTATCTCAATACTTTTTCATTTTTCAACGGATCTTTTTGTACTCAACACTCAATTTTATCATAAGCTCTTTTTTCTCACAGTCAGTTGTTTAATCAAATTTTTTTTCTGCACTCAATTTCACCATAAACTCTTTTACCTTTAGACAAATATCTCAATACTTGGATTTACATATAATATAATAAATATATTAAGTAAAAACTATAATTAACAATTTGTAAGGTAAATTGACTTTTTCATTGTAGTTTAATCAAATATGATATTTCTCATAATTTTATTTTATTATTAAACCACATATTATGAAAGATTTAGGTAACTTCATTGAGAAAGGGAACACCCCCCCAGAGCCAGAACAACAAGGGAAACCCTTCTCCGTCGTGACGAATCTGCAACTGTTATTTAAATTATGAATACATTATTTAAAACTTATAAATGGGTAGTTATTTCTTAAGTATCACTTAAACAAACATATATAAGTTTACTATTTTGTGAATCATTTGATTTCAACTTAATCATTAAATGAGTAAGAGAGTTGACCAAATTTTAGACATGATCCAATTCTAACCGCCGCGAAGCTCGGCCCAAAAAACTAGTAATATATTAATATTCAAAACTTGCAGTGTTTCTTATTTTCAAAAAAGAGTCGTAAAAGTGTTGCTATAATATTATTGATAAAAATATTTTGTGTCTATGTGCAAACCGTTTAATGTACCTGGCTCAAAGTATTTTTCTTTCAAAAAGAATCAAGACATGGTTAAAACTTATAAAGGTTTGTAGGAAAACATTATTTTATTTTGAAGAACATTAGTATCTTGAGTTTGAAATTTGAACTTTTACACTCATGATTGTTTATGAGTAATGTATTCTAATTTGGAATTCACGATTTAATGTGTTATTGTTATGTGTATTCTACTTATGACACTTTCATTTATAAGGCACTTATTTGCTAAAGTTTTCTAACGGTTTAAAAATAAAATTCGGGGAAACCATGAAAGTGTGAACCACTCGCTATCTCGGTTCGTACTCCGATTTGATTTTTACAACATTGCCAAAATGTTATAAAACATGAGACAAGAAAAGGATGTTGTGGTAGTTTTGATAACACCAAAATTGATATTATTTACCCTACATATCGAGGTATGATTTGTGCCAATTCATGTGTTTAAATGCTTAAACATCATAAAATACATCTCTATTGCGTTCCTATTTGATTTCGATGTAATTTTAGAGTGTATTAGTCGATATGTAGGAATTAGGTATAAAACAAGATCACAAGTGTAGAAAAGTGGCGAGAATTGAAGATCGTGGCCTAGAAGCCGAAGATCACGGTCGGGATCACAAGCCGCAAAGTCCAGGTGAAGATCGCGACCCAGAAGCCATAGATCGCGACCGCGATCTTGGAGGTTCAGGGCGCGAACTTCGCAAGGAAGGAGCCTTGGAGAAGCAGAGAGTCTCCTCAGTCAAGTCACAGCCAACGATCACATTGCTGGCGAGGAAGATACAGGAAGTAGAAGAGAAGGAGGAGGAGCTAGGAGCAAGGAGGCATCTTCTTCAACCCCAAGTCTTCTTCTATTTCTACCATGTATCTTCTTCCATTTCTATACCATGTATCTTCTTCCCTCCTTTATGGAGTAGTCCTCTAAGGTACTACGAGTTCTAAACCCCAAACCCTAGTTTTAGGGTTTACTATATATGTATGGATATTTTAGGGTTTGAATGAATGAATGTGTTTGTTTAGTTGATTTTAATGTCACTCTTTACTAATGATGATGCTTGGGTAAGTCGCCCTAATCTTCCCTCTTAGCCTACTTTATGCTACCGCGCTGGGTATGGAGTCCTAAGATTAGACGGGTATGCGCCATCTAGCGAGTTTAGAATAGATGTGTGAATGGGGGCCTATAGTGGTCGAGGCGACCGAACCCCTTCTATAGGTAGCCTTCCTAGATGAAACCCGGGATGAAACCTCAGTGTGGACGGTGGATAGTGTCCATTGAAATGAGCCATAAGCTTAATGCCCCAAATACGATAGCCTAAATCGAGGTGACTATATATGGGTTTAGGGAGTCGGCGTGTGGATAACGACGAAGGCCCACGGAAAAGAGCTCACTCACCACATTCAATGACACTAAGTATCTAAACAAGCATATTAACCCTAAACTAGGGGGAGGGATAGTTACCCGAAGTACCTGCTTTTAGCTTTGATCAATCTCTAGACAATTGTTTACTCATATCCTCCACTCAAAACCTCAAAAACCGATTAACTAATTAGCAACTAAGTGGGAAGTAGGTTAGCGTACCAGGACCCGAGTAGAATACGACATTAATTACTACTATAAGGCAATGTCGCGTCCTAAGTTAAACTTGGCCTATGATGGGATAGTTGTTGATACGTACTAACCTCTGACAATAACCTGCACAGATTCAAATGATCAAGTTTAATTGAGGGACAAATGAAGACAGTACTATTTATATGGCATGCGACTATGCGAGTCAATGATGTGGTCACTAGATATAACAAAATAACGGACTTCAAAAATTAACAAAATGACATATTCTATTTACTTGTTTCTTGAAGATAATAACACGAGATATTATGGTAGATAGATATGTATGAGAAAACAACAAGAACCCAATTTTAGTCGTTGGTCATTACTCACATACTATCCAAATGCAAACAGTTGAATTGAAAGGGGGGAAATGTGGTAGGGTTGGGTGGGGGATCATAGAATCAATGAAAACAAGAGGGAAAAATCGAGTTCTCTTTTTGAAAGCTCTGGTCCCAAATTGATTCCCAAGTTTTGGTTCCATTCCATCCCCCACTACCAAGAGCTACTATAGGGTTCGAGGAGGAGGGTTAAAGCTAGGGTTTTCTCTTCTTTTGGGCTGAGAGGGTCCAGGGACCGCCTGAATACCTTGTCTGCCTCAAACCAGCATAACTTGGTGGTGGTAGGAACAAAGTTACAATCCTCTTCTCCTTTCTCCCCTTTGCTCCAAATCTTTCTTATTTTTCATCAAACCCATCCACCGATTCATCTCTCTTCTCTCTCTCTCTTTTCTTTCTGGTTTAATCTGATACGCCAATGCGCCATGATTGAAGCTTTAATTTGGGAGGGGAGAATCAAAGCTTAATATAAAAAAAAGGGTTCCTAATGGTTCGTGAGGGCTTTGAGGGGTCGGCTTTTTTACCCTTGTTTAAGGATCTCACGTACCTTTTTTTTATCTTTGTGTTGTGTGTGTTGTTTGATTTTGACAGCAGTGAGTGGAGAAGTGGGTTTCCTAGCTAGCTTCTTTTTCTTTCCTTTTTCTCTGTGTACAAAACAATTTGCTAGTTTCAGCTTTGCCCACCTGCCTGCTACTCATTGTTCTTGCTTTCATGAATTTCACCGTTGATTGGTGCCAACTGCTATGCCATGTTGAGCTGAATGCCGCCTTGATGGGTTCCAATTAAGTCTGTGTCCTGTTTAATCTATGGTTCACCAGTCAATCATGGCCATGTATGAACAGTACATGATGAAAGATAAATTGCACGGCAATAGGGTTATTATTATGGAATAAAAGTGTGACTAATTTAAACGAGTGGCCTATATTTGGTTTTGTTGAATCCTGCAATAATATTGTTTGGACGAAGGAATGTATAAATGAGGGATTGTGGCTCAAACTTCTCAATCAGATAACCAACTAATTTATGTATGGGTTTGGTTTAAATTTTTTGTTTGAGCATGTGTCGCAATTTAGGATGCTAAACTTTTACTATTGGCCAATTTTCATTTTTGCCCTTGTATTCGTTTGTTCTTTCTCTGGGCCAAAATCAACCGCCTGAAACTTCATTCTGCATCCTCTTCTTGAGCTCTAGAACTCGCAAACCCTAAATCAACAATCGTCAATGTTAGATTTCCCCTCCCTTATAGGATGACCAGTTTGCTCATATCTATGGGTATTTTACTATTCAATTTGATTAGGTTGGGTATGAAATCTAGAGTTTGTGCTTTCTACCCATACTCATTTATTTGAGTTGAGTTGGGTTTGTAATCTATGGATTTGAGTTTATATTTATACCCATATGCAAATAATAGTATAACAGCTATTTAGATTTAGTACATAAAGTTAATTTTTTGAGCTAATACCACTACGAAACCCAAACTATCAAGAATGTGTCATTTGTGTCCCAAACTATTTAATACGACATTTATGTCTTAAACTATTTTTTTCTTAGAATTTACCAGCGTTGACCGTTAGTCTACTCAGCGCTGATATGACATCTGACGTGGAATTTTATTATTTATTTTTCAATAAAAATGAATAAACTAACAAAGAAATTAAAAAGAAAAACTCAGATCTGTAGATCTGCATCTCTGAGGGAAAATCGGTCGTCATGGAATGGAATGAAGACGATGAAGGAGGCACCAATGGGAGCCTCAGCTCCATCTTCCTCGCGTCTCTTTAACACAATCGTCGCCCGGATTCAACGTCGGGATTCAACGCCCAGATACAACACCGAGAATCTCTTGACGTCGGGGTTTCATCGCCTTCTCTTCTCTTTCCAGAAGCTAGGTACCCTGGAATTCCTCACATCCCTGCAATCGAGCACTCACGGTACTCAACATAATTGGCACCCGGTAATTCCTCACATCCCTGCGAGCAACCTTCTTCCCTCCCGGCCTGAATGACAGGGGCTCTACTCTATGATTATTTCGTCGAATGGCAGGGGATTTGCGAGGCCGAACTGAATGAAGGGGAAGAAGTGCAGCGGAGGATGGATTTGCGGGATTTCCGGATTAAGTGTTGGGGGAAGAAGTGCAGTGGGGAAGAAGATTTTGCAAAGGTCATATTCGGCAGGGGACGACGGAAGTGTTGGAGAAGAAGTACAGCGGGGAAGAAGATTTTTGTTAAGAAAATTGTTGTTCTTCTTTTTCTCTTCTTTTTGTTAATAATTTTTTTTTCATAAATAATCTGATTTGTCAGCTGACGTGGCCATCACATATGTGTCACGTAACCAACGATCAACATCTCACTGATGATCGTTAGGTCAACCGTTATCTTTAACGACAAACGAAATCGTCAGAACATAAATGACACACAACTATTATACGTCAGGACACAAATGTCATATTGAATAGTTCGGGACACAAATGACACATTCTTGATAGTTTGGGTTTTCCTAGTGGTATTAGCCCTAATTGTTTTGCATATAAGTTCTCAAAATATCATTGAAAAATTATATTTTAGTAACTAAATTTTTTGTGTATTACATGGGGATTGACTCAATGGTCATGCAACCAATCTCCCACCTACACCGATCCACTAGCGCAATGTCACTTCAGCTAGCTTCACGATGCATGAATATAACCTATCTCGTCTAAATGGGTTCTACCCATCCGCATACTAGGCGTTAAGTCGATGGTCACGCACTCGATGCTAGCATTGCCTAGGTGAACACCTAATAGCCAGGGGTACGATCGCCTCGTACACCATACTAGACTCCTAGATCAACCATTCAAACAAATCATGCTAAGACTACTCAATCCACACCTATCCTAGATCAAACCCTAACTAGACAATCATAGATAACCCATGGAGAGACAAATCGAAAGCATAATAATCATAGATCGAGCATAAAAACTCTAGCAAAACACAATTAATTGATAAATCCCATGAAAGAGGATAATAAATCTCCTACCACCTAAGTTGCAACTAGAGCGAATGGGATACAGACAATCTCACACTACTTGATGTAACAAAATAAGCAAATAGACATAGATAAATATGTTCATAATCATCCACAAATTAAGTCAAAATATCAAATTACATATCAAACCCTAGGTTAGGGTTTGGGGGGACTATGCCCCAAAATACCTTGAGGAACTACCTCATGAAGGCGGGAAAAAGGGACATGAATAGAGGAGAAGAAATCAGAAAGAAGGGTCTTCTTCTGCTGGAAAATCCTCATCCAAAGCTCTCATTCACTTCTTCTTCTCCTCTTCTTCTCCAACTTTCTACTTCTCGCTCTAGCCTCACTCTAAATAAAAAATCTGCCAAAAGTCACTTATGATTTATGAATTGGGGGGAAGACCCCTATTTTTATTGTTGTCTCAGAAGTGGAAGGTTGCAAGTCAACTGTCGAAACCTTCTATCTTCCTTGGTTGCCGCTTCTCCAAGTTCATGGTTGAATTCTCCAAGATCAAGAGCGTGATCTTTCTACAGAGGTCGCAATCTTTAGTTGAAGTATGCGGCTTCACTTCTCGGTCGTAATTTTTGACCCTTCTGCCGTGATCTTCCAGTTTCGCTCCAAATTCTACATTGGTGACCCTTTTTTATGCCTAAAACACAAGTATTGTGGAATCCATCCTAAAATAACATGAAATGCTCTGAGGAACGAATTTATGATGCAAATGATAATATATTGACGATAATGACCAACAAATTGTATGAAAACATATAAAATATGAAAGCTAAATAACATCAATTTGAGTCTTATCATCTACTCCGGACCTGTTTACCAAACACAGAAAGATAGAGAAATGGTTCCACATGATACCTACTCTTTTCAATCGCACTTCATTATCTTCATTGCCGGGCGATTACAAATATTGAATAACACACACTGCTGCAATCATTATCTCTACTAAAACAACGCAAAATAAGATAATAATTAACACTGTTAAAGCTTATATCCATCGTCATGCATCATTATTGCACCAACTTTGCGAGCAAAAAAACAGAAATCCAGAAACAAACAAAAGAAACGATCAATATTCAAACCTTCATTTCATTTCATTTCATTTCACCAAAATTAATTCTACAATTATTTTTCTTCCCCCCACCATTTCATTTTCTTTTCTTTTTCTTTTCTCCATTACCCTGTTGATTCCCTCTGTTCGTTTCATCAAAAGGGGAACCAAAACCACTGATGACATACAGCAGAAAGAAGAAGAAGACGAAGAAGAAAAAGTGAGAAATACACGAAGGAAAAGAAACTTCCTGCAAAAACAGATCCAAATATACAATTTGGTTCTCCATATTTATATATCTATATTATCTAATTAAACATATCGCCATTGATCATCGTCTTTATATTGTTTAAAACAATCAATCTGTCTCCACTTTGGATGCCGGAGACCTCTTTGCCCTCATAATTCCCAGGCCAGGAGAGAGAGAGACTGACTGGATTCTTTCTACAGCTAACCAATGACTACTACTGTCAGGAACAATTTCCATAGATTTCCTCACGATCCATTTCATCTCCTTCCATCAGCATCTCCTGGTACCTGCACTCCCTGCTGCAGAACGCCTTCTCTCCCCTGCAACGTTTGTTCCAATCCAAAAGAACCCATTTAACTCCAATGGCGGAAACATGAAAATTGGAGGGGAAGGGGAAGAAAGAGAAGAGACCCACTAACCTGTACATGTAGATGTCTTTCCCCTGGCCGAGATCCTTGCGGCAATTGTCGCAGTAGCTTAAGAAGCTCTCAGAAGGGTAGAAATCGTCGGACGCTTCTTTGACCGAGGGATCGAGGCTAAACACGCCGCAGCAGGCGTCGACGATGCAATCGTCGAATATGTGAGTGGTTTTCGGGATGGGGCCGTGGGAGATGACGCAGGTGTAGTCCTCGGAGAGCTCCATTTCGCCGGCGGTGAAGACCCGCGGCGGCGGCGAAGCGTCCAGACCCGAATTGTCCGACCCGAACATCGTGGATTTCAGTACGGGAGATGGGGATAGACCGGAGGAGGAGAAAGAGCTGCCCAATTGAGAGTTCCTCGTCTTGATCCCGAAATCGGCCGGAGATCTGGGGGAAGACCCTGCTGCTGGGGAAGAAGGCGGGAGGGAGAGCAAGGAAGAAGGGATCTGGATCTTGAGCTGGGACCCGAACAGAACCATTCGACTATCGGCGGGTAATTTTGTTGATGAGTTTGGAGGGCTCTTCTTGTTCTGATCGGAGAAGAGAACGTCGACTAAGCCGAGCCCGATTTTAGGGGAATCGAGGTTTTCCCAGTACTGGCTCCGCTTGGGAGCGTCGGCGGCGGCGGGAGAAGCGAGTTCAGGGGAGAATGGGTTTTTGAGGCCGGAGAAGGACTTGCTATCTAGGATGGAAGTCGGGCTCATCATCGCCGCAGCTTCGACGGTTTCATTCTTGAAGGAGGCGAAGGCAGTGAATAACCGCGGAATGGAATTGGACTTGCTTGAAGAACTGTACTCCCCCATCGTCAAGCTCTCTTCCACCCTCTGTTTTTTCACTTATGATCCCTCTGATCGCAAACTCTGGAAACGAGTCAAGGCAGCATAGCTGGAAAAGGAAGAGGAAGGGTTAAAGTCGGAATACAGAGACGAAATTACAGCAGCTTCCAGAATTGAGAAAAGAAACAGAGGAAGAGAGAGAGAGAGAGTCAGAAATTTACCCATTCCAAAAAAAGGGACTGATGATTTCTGATGATTCTGAGCCAGATGGCTGTTAATGGTGTGTACCGGAAGAAGAAGAAGAAGGCTAACAGTCAAAACCATTCATGATTTTACCCAACCAGGTAATGAGAAAGCAGCCAGAAATTGAAGAGATCCATTTGTCTTTGATATTTTGCTACCCTGTTGTTTGGTTTTGTTGGGTACTGCTGCTTCTGCTGCTATAACTCCATGAACTCCATTCTCTCAGAAGTAGCAGCAGGGGACGGGAGGAAGAAGAAAAGAGAGGAGGGGAAAAAAGCAGTGAACTTTATATCCCTGACTTTCCCGACCCTTTTTGCTAGGTAGCTCTGTAAAATTCTCTCCGGCCACTCCAAGCACAACAGAAGGACACACTCACTCACCAGTCATATTCAGGAAGAAAGGAGGAGAGGAGAGGAGTGGAGCATGAACATATGAAGGAAGAAGAGAGATGAAGAGATTGAATCAACCCAAAGCGAAGAGAAAAGCTCTGTGTTGGGTTGCAGTCTGTGGGTTTGGAATCTAGTTAGTTCCCTCTTGAGGACTCTCGCCCAGTCCTTTTTATGGCCTGCTCCATTATGTTTTTGCCCCCAGCAGTACTCTATTATGATTATCAGCGATGGAGAGAGAGAGAGTGGAGGAAAAGGACAGGGCGAGTTAGAGGGAAGGAGAAAGAAAAAGGTGAAACTGGTGACTGTAAGAACAATGGAAAAAGAAAATAATAATGATGATTAATAATGTTTAACCCTCTAGCATTTTTTGTTTGTTTTTGTTTTAACTGGTGAGTGAGTGAGTGAGTGGGTGGGTTGGTAACTTTTTTTCGTCTTTGGTTTTGGAGGGTAGTGGCCTTCAGGTAGTACTGGCCGCTGGACCCTTTTTGGGTGGGGTTTTGGGAAGAAAAAACGGGCAAAAAAGCAATTGTTGTAAAATTTGAAGTGGCATAATAATGTGGTCTTTTTATGGTTCGATCGTTTTATAATGTTTTATTCAAAAAAAAAAAGATCGTTTTATAATGTTAATATTGTATTATGATTTAGACGCTCTTCAAAAGTTTTCGGTCGATTTGATGAAAAAAGGCAGTGTCACTACGCTATTTTTCGGCCTTAAACTACCTGCTGCTGCCATGTTCCCATTTCACTACCCAGCCGGCCTGAAACTTCGCCAATGGACTGATGAAAACTATGAAATTGAGCGAGTCTGTGACTGTGAGTGGGAGGTTAAGCTAAGAAGGAAGGGGTGGTTTTCACTTTTCAGGAGCAGGTTGTTGGGATCGTCGATTGGTGGGAACTAAGACAATGAATAATAAATTAATGAATTATTTTTGTAAAAAATATATAAAGAGAGGGTGCTTTCGCTTTTCTTTTGCTTTGAAAGAGGGGGAAAAAACAAAAATAAAAGCAGTCGCAGGTCTTTTCAGGCTGGTGCCTGCGCATGAAAGTCAGTAGTGGGGAGCTATTTTCTGGAATTTCAGGCAGCTCTGCTCTGCTCTGTTTCCCTCCGCTCGGCCACGGGCGGTTCCCTCTCCCTCTTACTTTTGTTGTCCTCTCCCATTTATTCTTTCTTGTGATCATTTACATAGAGCTAATTGAGGATTAATCGTTGGATTTGTTAATTCGATAAGAGTGATGATGATATTTCATTTCACTTACTATTGGAACTTTGGTTCACTCATTACCTCTTACAAATGCCACGCAATGCATATAGGGCTGCAAAGGAACATAGTCCACTCGAGTTTTTCTCAGCTTGAGCTCTGTTCATTTATAAATTTTTCAGCTCGACACGATAGAGCTTGGTAAATGCTCGTTAACACAGTTTGTCAAACTGAATACAAGCTCGACTCGAGATGAACTCGATTTGAAATCATTCTGGCTGAAAAAGGTGTAAACAAAAGAATTTTAAGTGATAATACAAAGAACACTATAAACTAAAAATAACAGCTAAGTTCCATACACATACGTATCAACAAGATAATGCTCAAGTTCAGCAGAAGAGTAATTAATCAATCCACTAGCTCTAAACAAGCTAGCTCGCTAGCTTAGCTCCACAAGTCATCGAGCCAAGCTAGCTCACGAGCTTATCAAGCTGACCATGGTCTAGCTCGACCTTGACTCGTCGAGTCGACTTGTTAAATAAAAAGCCGAGTGTCGGACGAGTTTTTTTTCCAATTCGAACGCCGGCTTGACTCATCTGCAATGGTCTATGAGAGAAGTGGGCCCGGGGGTCTTTCTGTAGGGAGTTCACGGACCGTGCAGGAGTGGACTCATTTCCCACCACGTCATTGCCTTTTTTTTTTTACATTTACGATTTACCTTTATTTAACTATGTGAGTGGGGGAAACTGGTAAAAAAAGGTCCCGCTTTAACTCGCAGTTCAAAAGGGCCCCCGGGGTTCCTGGTTTGACTGGGACCCACCGACTAAAGGCCATCGGGCGGGCCCCACCCTAACGCCAATAATAAGTCTAAATACTGACTGCCATGGTATGGCCCTAGCTTAGGGCCAAGGCTTGTGTCATCCCCTACCCCCCAACCTATATAATCTATTGATCTAATTCTATATATTTGCTGGCAAACCTACACATATTAGAATTTCCCCGTTCCTCGCTCAAATAATGACGTTCTTCTTAATTGTCCCATAATGACTGTCCCTTTCAACTTACTCCCCATTAAAATAGTTTTTTGTGGTTTTTTTATTTTATTTTCATGTTGTTTTGGGACTTATTTTGAGTTAATCCCAAATTTGATGAGAGATCTGCACCCTTACATTTGAAATTAAGGATCGTTTGATTGAGATAGTTACAATGCATGCATTGCCCACAATGCATTATGTTTTTTAATTTTCTGCAAAACTATATATGAATTGTTTGCTTGATGTGATGGAACACTCAAAATGAGTGATAGTAAGGGGTCGTTTGGAGGTTGGGATTTCAAGCGATGTATTTAAACAATGTATGTAATGTCAAGATTTTTTCCCCCTTAAATTTGTGACAAAATACATGTATTACCTTTTTCTGAGCCCACCAACAATCACTCAAAATGAGTGATTATCAATCTCTACCAAAAGGTGAGATTGTTAGACATACTGAATCAAAACCGAATGAACAGAGACAAGCGATTTACGTGGTATCCCTGATAATCAGGACTAATCCACGGGAGAGCTTAGAAGACTCTCCGGCTACTGATCGTATTTCCTTACTTCTTCCATCAACACATAAGGAATATATATACATACTGTAACCCAACCGAAACCCTAGGTTCGGCCGAGTATTGCATGGCTGCATGCCAACGTGGGCTTTTACTAACTCTTCTAACCTTTAACTAAGTCTAACTAAGTCCTTAATCACACATGGGCTGAATACATAATGGGCTAATTATACAACAATGAATGACTGTCTAACAGCCTCCCCCAAATTGATGCCGTTCACGAAGCATCAATTTGCTAGAGAGGAACCAATGGCGACTTGTCGTGAAGGACTTGGTGAAAATATCAGCCACCTGATCATCAGAGGAGATATACTGAACTCGAATAACACCCGCACGAACCAGATCGCGAACATAGTGAATATGGACTTCAATGTGTTTCGTACGGTCGTGAAGAACAGGGTTGACAGCAATCTGAATAGCACTGGTGTTGTCCACATGAAGATCCATAGGCGAAGGAACATCAACACCAAAATCATGAAGTAAACGACGAAGCCATTCCAACTCACTAACAACATCAGACATAGCCCTGTATTCAGCTTCAGTGGAGGACTTAGAGACCTTGTCTTGTTTCTTGCAGCGCCAAGAGACAAAGGCATCACCAAAACGAATGCACCAGCCAGTCGTCGAACGACGGGTGTCTATACAGCCTGCATAGTCAGAATCAGAAAAGGCTCGTAAACATAGATCACCAGCCGAGGGTAGAAAGAGACCCACGTCACGCGTTCCTTGGAGATAACGAAGAATCCGATGAACAGCAGCAAGATGATCAACACGTGGATCAGACATGAACTGGCTAACAACCTGTACAGCATAAGCAATGTCGGGACGAGTAGCAGCCAGATATATCAAACTCCCAACAATACTACGATACTGACGACCATCCTCCAAGGCCTCACCAGAATCCCGGCGGAGCTTCAGATTTAGTTCAATGGGAGTGCGAACAGGAGTGCAGTCAGAAAACCGATGCTCATCAAGTAAGTCATCAATATACTTCTGCTGACACAACAGAATACCCTGATCAGACCGAACCACTTCAAGTCCCAGGAAGTAAGAAAGATGACCCAAATCCTTTAGGCTAAAAGCTGCGTGGAGATCGGACTTAAGCTGTGTAATACCCACCTCATCATCACCAGAAATGATCATATCATCTACATAGATAAGCAACACAACTAGCCCACGAGAAGTCGACTTAATGAACAACGAAGGATCATTAAGGCTCTGAGTAAAACCAACCCCCGTCAGAGTATCATAAAATTTATCAAACCAGGCACGGGGGGCTTGCTTCAAACCATAGAGAGAACGATGGAGAAGACAAACCTGGCCAGGCTTGCCATGAGCGTAACCCGGAGGCATCTCCATGTAGACAACTTCTTTCAAGTCCCCGTGAAGAAAGGCGTTCTTAACATCAAGCTGATACAATGGCCAAGAACGAGCAGCTGCAACAGCCAACAGAGTGCGAACTGTCGTCATCTTGGCTACCGGGGCAAATGTCTCTGTAAAATCAATACCGTACTCCTGTGTAAACCCCTGGGCGACAACCCGAGCCCTAAACCGGTCAATGCTTCCATCGGGATTGATCTTCAGTGCATAAACCCAACGACACCCAACAACTGGAACAGAGGGAGGGGGTCTATCCACGACAGTCCACGTCTGCTTTGCATGTAAAGCATCGATCTCGTCGTCCATGGCCCGATTCCAACGAGGATCCCCCTTTGCCTGAGAGTAGCGAGAGGGTACCACAATGGACGAGACACCATGGGCTACAAAATCACCAAAATGCGGCGGCGGTTGACCCTTTGTAGATCGAGTCGAGCGCCTGGGAACAACAACTGGCGGACTAGGCGGCTGACTGGGCGGCGGACTGGGTGGCGTCGGAGGGCTGGGCGGCGTCGGAGAAGTGGGCGGCTCCGGGGGAGGCAAGTCGGGAGGGTCCAGGGGGTCTTCATCAAGCTCAGGATCTTCAGCAAAACACGGCAGATGGGACGAGGAGAACAAAGGAGACAATGATTCGGATGGAGTAGAATAGAAAGGGACATTTTCAAAAAAGACAACATGACAGGCGATACGAACACGACTGAGAAAAGGATCATAACAGAGGTAACCCTTGTGAACATCGCTATAACCAAGGAAAAGACAGCGAGCAGCCTTAGAAGTCAACTTAGACCGCTCATGACGAGGTTTCAGGACAAAACAAAGACAACCGAACACACGAAGACTGGAGTAGGAAGGATGACGCGAGAACAAGGCGAAATAGGGACTCGACTGCTTCAAAACTGGGGTAATCTGATAGTTGATGAGACGGACAGCAGTAGCAACGGCCTCTGGCCAAAAGCGAGGAGGAACATGGGCAGCCAGGAGAAGAGCACGAGTAAGCTCCATCGTATGACGATTCTTACGTTCAACCAGCCCGTTTTGTTGGGACACTCCTGGGCATGATTTTTGACACAAAATCCCATGTTCCTTATAGTAGGCGAGAAGAGGATTGGAGCTAAATTCCCCTCCCGGATCAGAGCGAAGAATTTTGACATTCCTACCAAATTGAGTACGCACCATAGTCAAAAACTCAGTGGCTACTGCATACAAATCAGATTTCAACCGAAGGAAATAAACCCAGGTGTAACGGGTGGCATGATCGATAAAAAGGGCAAAATACTTATAGCCATTTCGAGAAACAGTCGGAGCAGGACCCCAAAGGTCAGAGTGAACAATGTGAAAAGGATCAGTGATAATGGTGGAGCTGGAAGGAAAAGAAATACACTGAATTTTGGCCTCAACACAACTTGAACAAGGGGGTGGTGTGTCCGAAAAAACAATAGGTTTATTACCAAGCAGATTCTGTTGGAACATAGACTTAAGACGAGATGAATTGGGATGACCCAGACGACTATGCCAAAGATGCCAAGAAGTATCTGACTGACTCGAAAAGACAGGATAGAATGAAGACAAAGCCGAATTACTAGACTCTAACAAAGACATGGGTGGACTCGAGAGCTCCTCTAGCTGAAAGATCCTCCCCTGTTTACTCCCTCTTCCGATCTGCCTCCCCGTCGTCAGATCCTGTACAAAACAGCCAGATGGTGCAAACACAACAGAACAATTTTGTTCAGTCAACTGACCCACTGACACTAAATTCGGTTGTAAATCAGGAACATGTAGAGTATTAGCAAGAGTAATAGTCGGCTGCCGAATAGTTCCAACTCCCTTCACATTCAAATGCTGACCATTAGCGACTTGTAAATTCAAGTCACGAACAGGAGCAATATTATGTAACTGATCAGAAGCATTTGTCATATGATTAAAGCACGCAGAATCAAGTAGCCAAGGTTTGGATTTACCAGATGCTTGAAGCGACGCAAAAGCAGAATTAATGGCAGTGGGCAGCGCCGAATTTATGGCAGTGGGCAAGGCCTTTTGAAGTGCAACATTTACCAATTTCTCAACAGCATCCGCCGAAAGAAAACCCCCATCTCCATCAGTAGCTTGCGCGGCATAGGCAGGACGAGAGTTTGGAGCAGCTGTCGCCGAGGAAGACTGGGACTGGGTGCGATATTTGAGAGTGCGACATTCCAGAACTATGTGGCCGGATCTTTTGCAATAAACGCAATAGTTCTTCTTACGGCAGTGTTTTTGGAGATGGCCTTTTTCTTCACAAAATCGGCAGATGAGTTCGGACACAGGAACCCGCTGCTGGAAATTGGGGCGGCCGACTGCATACGCCTGGGATTCCTCGACAGCAGCTGGAACACTTGAGAAGACAGCTTCGTTGGCACCAGGGCGGACATCAAGACGCTCCTGCGTTCGGAGGCGCGTTTCCTCCCGCAGCAAGCGACCAATAACCCCTTCAAATTTCAGATTATCTTGATTCAGGAGAGAAGCCCGCAGCGGTTCATATTCCGGGCGAAGTTTCATCAGAAACTGATAGAGACGGGATCGGAGACGTTCAGCGCGAGCATCCTCGGAGATTGCCGCGGGTCGAAGTGAGGCCAACAACAAATCTTGTTCAGTCCATAATTTCAAGGCTGCATTATAGTACGAAGCAATATCCATCTCACCTTGCTTGAGGTGCGACAACTCAACCTCTAACTTGAATTGACGAGCTGAGTCTTGGGTAGTGTAGGTCGAAGCCAGCTGTGCCCACATCTCATGGGCGGTTGTAAACAGACGCAGACCAAGAACAATAGATGGATCCACCGACCCTAGGATCCATGATTTCACCCGTGCATTGTTCTGAATCCACGTATTCAATTCCTGCTCAGAAGCAGGAGGTACAATCGGTCTCTTCGAAGTTCCATCAAGGATCGACAACAAACCCTTGCCTTCAACAAACACACGAAATTGAAACTCCCAAACAGCGTAATTCTTCGAATCCAGACGGATGCCAACGCCTTCAGAAGGCTCTGATACCATGTTAGACATACTGAATCAAAACCGAATGAACAGAGACAAGCGATTTACGTGGTATCCCTGATAATCAGGACTAATCCACGGGAGAGCTTAGAAGACTCTCCGGCTACTGATCGTATTTCCTTACTTCTTCCATCAACACATAAGGAATATATATACATACTGTAACCCAACCGAAACCCTAGGTTCGGCCGAGTATTGCATGGCTGCATGCCAACGTGGGCTTTTACTAACTCTTCTAACCTTTAACTAAGTCTAACTAAGTCCTTAATCACACATGGGCTGAATACATAATGGGCTAATTATACAACAATGAATGACTGTCTAACAGAGATTGTGACCAAGGGATTGTTTTCCCTCTATTTTTTTATTTATAAGTTATAACAAAGCACAATGTAAGCTTTCAAACAAGGTATTTTTCAAATTCATACATTTCATAAATACATCAAATTACAATACACAAATTGATTAAATACTTCAATTTGGAGAATCTCTACCTCCAAACAACCCCTAATATTTCAACTTTTTTTTGTGTGATTGTTGAGATTGTTTGTTTGAGATTGTTGGAGTGTTTTCTTCTTCCAACTATGTCCCTACCTTTTGTGTTTTGCTTTTTTATATTAAAAACAAAGGGTAAAAGTGACATTTCACCAAGAAAGCAATATATCTTATTTAATAACTATCACATAAACCAAACGAAGTAAACTACAATACATCAATTTTCTTATATGCATTTATTTAACTATCACCAAAACCAAACTACCCTAACTGTTTCCAAGTTAAATGTGAATAGGTTATGATATCATGTCGACATGTACCAAATTGCAACAACTAGGCTTGTAGACTAGTTTCGAGTATTGAAGCGGATACACTGTAAATTTTTGGGCAATGTCTATTTTTTACCCAAACCTTTTTCAGATTCTTTTATTTTAACCAAATCAATTGAATTCCTAAAAATTATCCAAACCTTAACTCTCCGTCAACTTTTCTGTTAGTAATGCTGACTAAGTATGACCATAATGAGTTGACTTCCTACGTGGCGGTCAGAATACCATCATTTACTATTTTTAATAAAAAGATGATCAAAAAACAAAACAAAATCCCACCTCTCACGTGGACGAAATAAGTAACAGTAACAGAATGAATGCCCAGACTTTGATAAATTAGAATACGTTTGGATAATAAATAGAATTTCTATAGATTTGGTTAAAATAAAAGAATCTGAAAAAGGTTTGGGTAAAAAATAGACAATGCCCTAAATTTTTTATTTGTGGTCTTTCGCTATTTCGTTAATTCCTAATTAGTTGTAGTGATATTTGGTTTGTAATTATTGATGTTTGGGGGTAGTTGTACTAAAATCCATCTAACGTCGGAAGGCGAATAAATAACAAAAGATAGCAAACGGTTTCTCATACATGTATATTTGTTGACCGTCAAAATTTATATGAGGCAAATGACGTATTTCAGTGGAAATCGATTTCATTTATTGATGAGGTTTTTCCGGAATTTAGATAATTTGATTAGGAACATAATGAAATGAAAAATCCAAAACATGAGTAACTCAAAAGACTTTTCATCCACGTTAAGAGATTGTTTGTCACATATAACCATTTCGATCACATTCAACTAAGTAATTGTAATCCACGCTAATAGTAATTGACAATTAATTGATTACAATACACCATTGGATCCTAGTAAAGCTCAAGATTAAGCCAAATGCCCCAGACAAAGTGAAACCAATTCATAAACGCCCAAGTCAAACACCATCAACCAAGTAAACCTCAAAATCAAAAGTATATCGGAATAAAAATTTAACCTCTTTATCGTTAAGATTACTTACTGGTGACAAATAACATTTATTGTTAACAACCTTATCGAGACCCGAAGAGTGACTATGGCCACATTTTTAACAATGTGGAAGTGGTCATCTATTCATAAAGTAATAATAATAATGTGGAAGTAGTTGTCAAAATAATGACTTTGGACTGCTGATCTCAGCCTATGTTGAAATATGCAAAAGGACTTATCTGCCTTTGCCTGGACCCTGGGGAGGGCAAGTGGGAGTAACTCAGGGACCCGGGTAATGATTTCTTACAATGATGCCCTATTATAACAGTCCATAAAGAGAGAGACAGAATCCGGCCCACTAAAGAAAGGGGTGAAATTTTTGTTTTAAAGAAACCCTACTCTACCGGTCGGTCGAAGAGAAAATATCGGATACAAATCGGTAGGTAGTTTTAACGATAGAAAATGGTCGAATTATGATCAAATCACGGTACAATAAGTGAGGCAGTTTTACACCTAAGATTATTTTTGGCCTAATTGACTTGTGTGGAGTCTTGATTGGGTTTAAACGAGGCTACCTAGTTGATTAGAATAAGTGGGTTGGGCCGGAGGAGTTTCATACTCTAGGTTTAGTTTGGGCCCACAATCGACAACATCGCAGTAGTAAACTGCGTCGCGACTCAACAAAGTCGGGATCTCGACAAGATTGCAAGATCTATGCTGCCGAGAATGGAGCGGCATTGCGAGGTCAACAACACACCGGTGGTTAACAAAGTCACGACTCCAAGTGAATCGAACGATGTAGTGAGTCCACCAAGGTCGCATGGTCAAGTAGTAGCGATATTCCATCATAAACAACATCATGAATTAGGCGATGTTTCGAGATTACTTGGCCACCATGTTAATGGGTTAGCCGCGACCCGCTAGGATGTTTCGAGCACGTGTTTTGCGACAGAACAACATTGATCCCGTTTCAACGAAGCATTTGTGTTCACGTGAGTTGCACACGAAGAAGACAAATGAACGGAGATTCAACATTTGAAGTATTGCAACCTCCACACGGAGAATGAAGAAGGTGGGTAACTGCAAGGTAGTTTCAAGATAACTACGAAAGAGTTTTCTATAAGGATCAAGAGAGAAACAAAAGATGGGGAAGGCAACCAAAACCAAACAAAAACACGTATGTCTCAATTTCATTTTTTCCTCTGTAACTCTTAGTTGAGAAGCCCCTTCCATGAAGGATTCTCCATAGTCGTAATTGTAGTCTTAATCGTGAAGCTCTCTGGAGAAATCTCCATTTTAGTAGTAGGTATAATTTAATGTAAATTCCCATAAAATCAAATATTCTTTTCAGAACATTTTTTTAAAGATGTGGGAACCGAAAAACAACCATCTTGGTTTACATAATTCAGAAGTTTTATCAATCAAATCAACACCGCAAACTTTCCACTGCAAAGAATGGGTATATATGAATCTATAATTGCAATTATATGCCACTTAGACCACCCTATACACTACTTACTTCTTGTAGAGATCTGTTGTACCTCCTGACAAAAGATTTAACTGGTCTACTTAGAATATATTTATCATGAAGTTAATTTTGTGGTTGATTAGTGATTACTTTACTTTGTTAGGACCCTAGTTATTCCTGGAAGAATATATTTTTTATTCACCTTGTAACTCTGTTTTAGTATTATTGAAACAGCGTTCCAGTTTCAAAAAAAAAAAAAAATGTTCAATTATGTAGAAGAGGTATCTATGTAGACCCCAACAGAAGAGGACAGTGACTTGATCCAATGGTTAGGCTTAACCTACTCTAGTTCATCACCATTAACTTTGGGACCAATCAGTGCCTATATAATAATAATAGTGATGATGCTTATAATGATGGCAACAGAAGAAAGATTAATTAAGTACTGGAATTTCAGATAATCTCATCCTTTTCCATTATTGTTAATCGACTAGAAATAGAAGCAAATCTTGAAAATTGATTTTTTTGCTCATCCAACACCCAACATGTCAAGTTATGAGAAATCAAATATATATACCTGTACAAATATGAATAATGATAATGTCTAGATCAATCATAATTACAGAACTTATCTGGAAAAAAATTATTTTATTGTTTTCCTCTCCAATTATTAATGATCCATGGAAAAAAGGACAATGATGCCACACTCTTGAGTGATATTATTAAAGTCCCATTGAGGTTCTTTT